ACGATTCGTGAGTATTTGCCAGGATACGTGAAGGGGTTACCATATTAATTAGTATAATTCTTTATAAAAAACTGACTAACAAAATTTAAAGAGTCTGGTAGTAAGCTCTGAACGTAGATCGATGCAAGTGTAATGTCATTTTATGATATATTTAGCTTGATCGAGTGCCTGTCCCCCCACTTCCATCTCTAGCTAATCGCATTAGTCTGGCCCTGTTTACTGTTAGCCGCCGGATGCCAGGAGGGCGTTACGCTTCGTCGGGGGATAGTCATTGCATAGATCGGTAGGCTCATAAATTAAATTGGCGAGCTCTCGCGGCTCTAAGCTCCCCAGTCTCAACTCCTAGCTCCATCGACACACACTTGAGCCTATCTTGGAGGCTCTGAGCCTTGCACTCGGGCATTTGTCATCCAAAGAGTGTGTCTACGTGTGTGTGGATTGGAATGGTGCCCCGCCCACACACCCACGAAGGAGTATACACTGGGAAAGGTAACACGGTGTCCATCAATTCTTCACTTCACTTTCATTTGCATTTTTGCAGGAGACTTAATTTTTGGTGGGTGTTTCTTGTTTCCTTTTTGTTAGTGGGGCAGGTAGACAGGCACATTTTGCGTGAATTTATTTATACTTTTTATTTCGGGGCTTGTTAATTTGCCAGCCAGGCTCGGCCATGTGAAAGTTAGCGCTGCATGCCACAAATTGCGCAGACGTGCGAATGTTGCATAGGATAGCTATAGTTTTTTCTATAGCTGCCTTGGTCACCTGTCCCTCGGTCGCACATTCATATTTCATGGCGCTCAGAGCCCAAGGAGCCCCCGAAGGCAGGACAATGAGTATCCACTTCATTCGCAGTCCATAAATCCGGCAAATGAGGCAGTTCATCTTGTTTTCGAGGAGCTGCTAGCTGCTAGCTGGTCTGCTCGTGTCAAGGGGATAGTGGTGGTGGATAGTGCTAAGCCAAGATAATGGCCGGCTTTCAGTGGTTGTCCGGTTCGATTTAGTTGAAAAGTAAATTGAAAATTGCTGTTAGGCTGTAATGGGGCAGACAGAAACCAGAAAATTGACCGAGTGGGAAGGCTTAAGGGTCTCTAAAGTCATTACAGACCTTAGAATTAAGTGCATAGTTCATTGACTGGCATCTATCGATCGCTGGGGCGTATTTATCGATCTTAAATCGCTTAATTCTGAAAGCAAGTCTGGTTTCGGGAAAGGTCTACGCAAACTACAGTAATTTCTGTGCTAATTTCTTATAGTTTTATCATTATTTGCCGTCTTTAAGCTACATTTATCACGCCATTTAGCAAGTTATTTGTTTATTTACTAGTTTATAGGTATTTTTTAACTCAGTTATCATAGTACATTGAACTTGCAAATATTTTTCCCTTGCTTGGTTGTATTACCATAATGTCTTATAAATATCAACAAACTTGCGAACATTTTCAAGCCCATTGGAAAATATTTACTCGACTCACCGGCAGCTTCCATAATTTTCCAAGTTACCCAAGGCGACCATAAATCTCCCCATGGGTCCAAAGGCCCAACCCAAACCCCAAGCAAAGCAGTAAACCTCCACTTAACCTCCATTTCCCATTCCCATTCCCATGCCCAGACCCCACAGAAACATGAGCATAAATTGAGATTTTGCTAAGCATTTGCAAAACTTATTAAGACTGACAAATGTTGACAATTGACGAATTGGCAATAAGGGGAAGGTGGTGGGAATGAATGGCAGGCAGGAGGTAAATCTGTCAGTGGTTCAACAAGCGGTTTTAGCCCGGTCTTGTCTCTGGCTTTCTGTGGTTTTCCCACTCCCCACTCCCAAATTGGTTTCTGCTGCCATTTCGGTGACATTAATTTACAGTTTGCCAATTGCTATGAAAAAAAATGAGAACAACGGCAAAACTCATTAGGGAAGCAGTCTGGAGGTAAACAAAAAAAAAAAGAACTTGTACAGCTAAGAGGCACAGAATTTATGGCAACGGATAATAAATGAGTTAAGGGAAATTTTAGCATGTAATACGATCTGCCGGAGATCAATTGGCATAATCAGATGCGATCGTAACTTAGCAGGGAATCAATATTTCTTATTGGTCCATGCAATAAAAGAAAGTTGAAGGTTATGGAAGAGTCATCAAAGCCGATTTTCAGGATACCCTTTCAATATTGAAGAATATTTTAGTTTTAGTTTGGTTTAAGGAAAATTCTAAACTAATTTAGGAGTAAAGATTTAAAATCTTTTTCGATTTAAATCCTGACCTTAGAGTAGGAAATTCCAGGAGAATTGGTCATTTATTTACTCGAATCTTTTCCTGATTAACAAAGGGAAAGAGAAGATAAGCTCTCTTTGCACCAACAGTCCTACCCACACACACACATACATTGGGAAGCATTATGCAATGATCCTCTGACCACTCTGCATCTTTCTCTTTCCTCCGCACATCCTCCTCCGTCACTCTTGTGCTGGCCTGGCCACTGAAGGAAATGAGGTGAATGCCTTCTTAGCAGGCGACAAACAAAACAAAAACCAACAAACAGAGAGAGAGGAAGCGAGGAAGAGAAAGAGCAGGAGAAGAGGAAGCGACAGCCCAAAGTCCGAAAGCCAAGCGAAATCGATATTTTTCAGGGACGCCTCCTCCCTAGCCCAAAAATCCCCCTTCTTGCCTCCAATTTCCATGCATTTTTAAGCTTTTTCCTTCGTTTTTATCTACTTCTTTGAGTGCACAGAAAGAAATTGTTCAGTTTTATTATTGTTATTTCTTCATTTATTCGTTTATTGAATCTATGGAACTGCAAGAGATTCAGAAGGAGAAAATTAATATATTGTATTGTAAATATATTGTATATTAAACATTCAACATTTATGGTACTTCATAGATACTATGCCCATTTTGTAGTGTACTTCTTGTTGTTTTCAATGCGGTTTCAACAATTTTGTGCTCATTCACAGAGGGGAAGTGGCTGGCAATCCAGGGTATGACTGGTTTCCAACCGGGTGGTGGTGACTCACCCACAGAACATTTGCTGCCGGCCAACTTGCAGTGCTCTTGCACTACCACTTGGCACTTGTATCTGTATTTGGGACCGACCGGCAGGGCCTCTGCTGTGGAGCAACCGATGTTTTATTTCGTATCTGCGGTTTCTTTCGGTTGGTTCTGACACACGTGAAGCCACATCAATCCATCAGCCGACTTTGTTCGCTTAAACTTGTCGCCTGGGCTTGTCCCATTCCCATTTCCTACACAGAATTTCAGATAATGGTTAGTGTGGTGGTAAGCAATTGCAAATCCAACTTAATTGAGAGTTTTCTTTGTAAAACTTGACTTTAGTTAACAGAACTCCTATGTATATAATGTATTAAATAACTAATTTCTTTCCCGTTTACGAACTATCAGAACTCCGAGGCAAGATCCAGGTTTACTTTCACATTCATACTCTGTCGTCGTCCCCTCGCTAGCTCCCCTAGATAGAGAGAATATAAACCTGCTTGGAGTTATCGCCTAATCTCAATCTCAGTTCCCAGAGCCATCAACGAGGCTCCTCCCCGGAGGCACTACTCAATTACCTGCACTTGTCACAGAATCTCCAGATGGCTCAGTCGGGATAATGACGATCACTTAGCACATGACCGATACCATAGCCAGCAGTAGTGAGAGGGGTTTGCTGAAAAGACCAGAGTCATTGGCCCAGCATAGTCAACCAACAGCGACCGATGATGATTAGCAGCAGACAAGCATAAATTCTAGGTTTTATCTTTGGGATTGCGTAACGGTCTTCTCCTGTCTTCCCCCAGCTTCTGCAGCCGTAAATGGCAAACACTAATTGCTGCCTTGCCTGGCCGCTCATAAAAAGTGGGAATGTTGCAAGAGTCGTTGCTGCAGCATTATTATCGTTAAAACAAATGTTTGGTTTTTAGTCTCCGGGCAACTGCAAATATATATTCCCCAAAAGGCTTATGAAATTGCCGAGTAAGAAAAAGAGGGGAAAGCCAATCGATCGAATGATCGGTCGTTCATCGAAATCATCGGTCCAGTCCGGTCCGGTCCGGCCCTTAGCCCCGGGCTACACACTTGCTTTTTATTTCGGTTTCTTTATTTTTTTGGGAAAGCATCTCGGATATTGCATAAGTAGGACAACAGCAGGGCGGGGTCCTCGAATTGGGGAATTTGGGTTACCAGAAACAGAGAAAGGAAACTTGGTGCAGGAGACATAATTTATGCAGAGAACTTTGGGTATTTCGTGGGTAAGACACTGCTGACCCATTTAACAGCCAAATAGCTGATCACATGTGGGTGGAAATAACAAATTCTTCATTTAAAATGTCACAAAATGTCACACGGATCGAAGTTTGGGCGAGTTACGGCGACGGCACAGCCGAAATGTGTGAACAAATGTGTGTTTAATGTCACTCCTCCTGCCCCAGTCTCTCTCCAAAGTGTACTAAACCACCGCCCCTCGATCTCGCCCAGAAAATGCAGCAATTAATTCTTTAAGAGCTGCTGCAGCCAGCCTCCAGTTGCAGTGGCCTCGTTTTAGGTGTGGAATTGAGTCGTTTATTTGGGGGCTTTGGAAGGGGAATTGAGATATGGCGAATTCCATGAATTTCAGTTTATTAATAGGTCATGTGTGGGAAGAAAAGGGTATATATAGCTCTTAACTGAATATTAATTAGTGCCTTGCAAACTCCAATAATCAACTTATTTTCTCTCTGATTTCATGTAAGTTAACCATTTCCTAAACGACCTCTGTCATGAATTTTCCCACAGCCCAGAGAAATGTTTTCCCTTTGATTTCCCAAGTTGGATTATGAAAGAAACGCAGGCGGATTAAAGAGCGGCTAATTATGCGCACGTAGGCCGGATATCGGATATAGTCAAAGTAATCCGTATGCTAATCGCATGCAGATGTGTGGTCAGTATCTTGAACCATCCATTTATGGAGCGTAGGAAGCATTACTTAAACTAAATGGCTTAAACAAAATTATATTGCGGTTTGGGCCAGGAAATTGATTTATTTATACAGTTTACAAAATTTAAACGGAAGACCTGTGTGGATGCGATTAATTTGATGGATTATTAAAGATATTTGCATATATGAAAATGCAAATTCTTTAATAACACAACAAAATAACAGCGCATATTATGTTTCAAATTACTTGCAAGGCTTTAGTTTCTTTAACTTGGGTTCCAAAAGCCGATTTGGTTGCAGTTACTTTTCTTTCCGTTGTAATTGCGAATACTAACACTCCATTTGGGTTTTTAAATGCTGAAAGGTCATATCAGACTTCTTAGTGGTCGACACCTGTACTCTGTAGGGATCGGGCGGCAGGCGCTGTTTTTTCCGAAGAGCTGCCTCCTTGGCCAGCTGCTTGTACCTTTGCTTACTCTCCGGACTCATCTTCCGCCACATGTCCTTGGCCACTATTTGCAGCTGGACGAGATCCTTGATGGGCAACCTGCGGCCGCTGAGCGGGTAATCGGGTGCCAAACCATATTTTCTTCGCTCTTCCATTAGTTTCAGTCCGTAGTAGCCGGTAAGCATCTCACGTACAAAGTTCTGGAAGGCCGAGGGCATTGCACGAACCACAAGCCTCCGGTATTCCAGGTGGTCCAAGGTGCTGGGTGTAAACGTCACATGGCGGCTCACACAGAGCTTCGGTCTGAATTTGGTAATTGGAGCAGGAAAATGTCTACCAATTTTGGTGGTTGTTTGCATATTGTTATTCTCCAGGATCTGGGATGGACGAGTTAGAGAGCCCAGCCTTCGACACATGTTCCTCCTGAGCTTGTTAAACATTTTAGAGGTGCAAATTCCGAAGAAAGGATACACATGGCCAGCTGTTTCTCATATTTTTTTTTGTTTCAGACTTGAAGCTTTAAAAACCATCCAATAGACCTATTTCTCGAAAGAATATTTTTGACTTTGGGGTTTATTTCGGATGAAATTCATTTAATTCAATTGTAACATCTTTAAATAAAATGGAACAAAGTGCTTGAGGTGTTAAATAAACCATATTTTTATTTTTAAGCTTATCTCCTTGAAGCCCATTTTAAATATTTAACAAAAATAGTACATTTCAAGCTTGAATTTATTTATATGTGATATGTATACGGTTTACAAAGCAGTTGATTGTTTGGTAAATGTAAGCGAGTGAGTTTTAATCGGAAATCAAAATTCCCTGAAAATCCGCTGAAACATTTTTACCCCATCACCCATTGTTGGCCTTCATGGCGATAACGCTCTCCTCTCCGCAGGCCGCTAGAACGGTGCAGAGAAGGTCCTTGCCTTCGTCAAACTCCGAGCGCAGTGATCCTCCGAGATCTCCGTCCGGAATTTTGAGATCCTCGCGTATCTCACCGTTGTCCGACATCAGGGTGACATAGCCATCGTCACTGATATCCGTCAGTTGGTAGTCCTCGCGCTTCACATGCGGCACGTCCATGTTGTGGGTCGAGGGGCAAATGTCCTCGTACTTCTTCTGGGTGAAGATGTCAACGCCCACGAGATGGACCTTGGCGTGGCCATGCTTTCCGGTCTTCGAGGTGGACATCTCCACGATCTTGCAGGGGCGTCCCTTGAGCATCACAAAGCCGTTCTTCCGCAGAGCCGAGCACTGCATAGGGAAGGTCTTCGAGGCACCTGAGTCCACGGTATCGAACTGGGTATCGCCATCGTCTTCCATGGCTAAGTTAAGATTTGGTTAGGAAAGATTCCAAACAAAATTACGGGTTTACCTTTATATTTTCTTTTACCACTTCTATTTGCGAAATTTTACGTTGTATCAATTATTTTTGTTAACTCCTCAAAAGGTGAGAACGTATAAAATAAGAGACCTTCCTGACCTTTCAATGAATTGTAACTGAGCCAAGGCTGTAGCTTTAGGCCTTAACATTCAATGAGAAGGCGACAGAAAAAGCATAGTCTGCCTAGATTAGTTTGAAAATGGAATACTAGATGTGATTGCGAATCAAATATTTCATTAACAAGTACTTATTTATACTCTTAAATTGGTATTTTGGATACATAATCCATAAATGATTTCGGATTTGTATCTTTAAAGATCTTTAATCGATCTCGCCTAATGATATTCGTGTTTGCTATGATACACAATACTCCTTAATCCAGTCTTAATTAGGCAAGAGAAGATCTCGATCAATTTATCAAAATACCTAAATCCCTTTACCTTGCTCGAATCAAATTAATCATTAAGCGACGGCTTCGCTCTCTTTCTTTGGGGCGTGTCAGGGTCAGTTATGAAATCGCTTCGTATCGTTTATCAAAAAGTCGGGGTCGGACCCTAAAGATGAGGTGTGGTGTGGTTCGTGGCCGGTTCATTGACCCACTAAGCGAGAAGCTGGAGCCGACTGTCTGAGGTGGGCCACCTGAACAATTCCAACGCTATTTGCGAATCGAAGAGTCTTGCCCGTTTTTCCTCGACTGTTGCGTCCCATTTGCATTTTCATTAGTTTTCTTGTGGTCTTATACTCTTTCCAAGAGCAATTGATAGATTTCCTCCGATGTTTATTATTTTGGCACTCACTTTGGTAGAGAAGATTGTGAGATTTTTTGTTTACTTTGAAAACATAATGGATTTAATAATTTAAATAAATCAACAATCATTGCCTTTCCTCTTCTGTACTTTACTATAAACAAAGCAAAGCTTTACTTATTCAAATTTAGCTTTAACTTTTCTGTTTTAAGGGTATCAAAACCACTGCATTTTCTTTATATTTTTTTGTTGTATGCCGTCGATCAGCCGGTTAAGGATTCTCCTCTGCTTCTCAGCATCCCCCTCACGCCTTTTTCTCTCTATTTTTTAGCTGTCTGTGCGGATCATTTTGAATTGACAGCAGCTCGTTTTGCTTCCTTGTTTGCCAATTGCATTGGCAAACGACTTGAAAGCATTTGCATTTGCAGAGAGAGAAGGCAGAGGAGACAGACACTCTCTCACTCACTCACTCACTCACTCAATCATGCATTCATTCACTCAGTCGCTCATTTAATCATTCGCCCGCCATTCAAATTTTGTAACTGTTTTGTCTGCCAATTTGACATCTCAGCCAGCTATTTGTTTCAAAGGTTTTTCCAACTCCCCGAAAATCCCCCTTAAGGTGTGTTCGAGAGCTCAGTCGTGACCTGTGCGTGGTTTTTATGTTCGGGATTTTCTGTCATGTCTCTGGGTTAACTGCAATAAATCTGCTAATACAATTTAATATGATTTTCTCGAGCGGAGTTTGTTTTCGTTTTTCGGGAATCGGGCTGTGGGCACTCCCTGAATTTAATTGGAACCCTGGGAACCCATGTGCCAGCCGCGAATGATGTCAGAACGTGGAGTTTGTCGTCGTGTTCGGACCACAAAACTAAAAAAAGAGAAGCCAGAACCCCAGCTGAAAATAAATTGAAAATTGAGTAAATAAAATAAATAAAAAACAAACATTTGTGATATGTTGACAGTTCACAATTCCACTGATGAGGGCGGGTCAGCTCAAAGAAGCTGGGGTCGGAAAATTTTTTTTTTTGAAATTTGAAAGCTGGAATCGTTTGCCCATCGTTTGCCCATGTTTGCCCACCTTTTACTTTTTTTGCCCACGTCCAGTTTTGAAAATATTCGACTTTGAATATTTTCATCATTTTTCGAAAAAACAAAAGTTGACTTTTTTCAAATTTTTTTTTTGGAAATCGCAATAACATCGTTTGCCCACGTTTGCCCACCCTTTAGAATTTTGAAAAAACTTCAAGTTTAGAAAATTTTCAAAATTGTACTGGGAAATTTTGAATTTTAAAATTTTGAAAACTGGAATCGTTTGCCCATTCGTTGCCCATGTTTGCCCACCCTTTACTTTTTTTTGACCACGTCCAGTTTTGAAAATATTCAACTTTGAAAATTTTTCAAAATTATAACGTTTGCCCACCCTCTAAAACTAAATATTTTTAACAAAGAACGATTGCCCACCTCTTAAAACAAAATAAAATCGTTTGCCCACCCTCTAAAATTAAATATTTTTAACAAACAACGATTGCCCACCTCTTAAAACTAAATAAAATCGTTTGCCCACCCTTTAAAATTAAATATTTTTAACAAAAAATGATTGCCCACCTCTTAAAACTAAATAAAATCGTTTGCCCACCCTTTAAAATTAAAAAATTTCGTTTGCCCACCCCATAAAATTAAGATTTTTTAAGAAAAAACGATTGCCCACCTCTTAAAACTAAATAAAATCGTTTGCCCACCCTCTAAAATTAAATATTTTTAACAAACAACGATTGCCCACCTCTTAAAACTAAATAAAATCGTTTGCCCACCCTTTAAAATTAAATATTTTTAACAAAAAATGATTGCCCACCTCTTAAAACTAAATAAAATCGTTTGCCCACCCTTTAAAATTTAAAAATTTCGTTTGCCCACCCTCTAAAATTAAATATTTTTAACAAAAAACGATTGCCCACCTCTTAAAACTAAAAAAAATCGTTTGCCCACCCTCTAAAATTAAATATTTTTAACAAAAACTGATTGCCCACCTCTTAAAACTAAATAAAATCGTTTGCCCACCCTTTAAAATTAAAAAATTTCGTTTGCCCACCCCTTAATTTTAAGTATTTGTATTAAAAAACGTTTGCCCATGTCTTAAAATTAAATATTATCTTTTGCCCACCCCTTAATTTTAGGTATTTATATTAAAAAACGTTTGCCCATGTCTTAAAATTAAATATTATCTTTTGCCCACCCCTTAATTTTAGCTATTTATATAAAAAAACGTTTGCCCAACTCTGAATATTAAATAAAATCACTTAATGTTTTATGTTTACAATTGTTAAATCCGTAATATCGGTTGCAGAAAGTACTTGTTACGAAAAAAAAACAAATATTACAAAATGATTATAAAATCTGGTTTGGAAATGGTTCAAATTGCTACGTTTTAAAAAATTCTACTAAAAATTGTACAACTCAATTTTTCCGTTTTTTAATTTTGCATAAAACATACCAGCTATGGCCGAAAAACATCTAACGACAGGTGCCAGGACAAAAAAACACTACTGCCTCAAACATGTTGCAGACAGAGAGGCGGCCATACGATATAAGTCGTTGTTGCAGAATTGTGATCCCGAAACTTTATGATTTCTACCGCCTATCTGACGCCAAAATTTCAGTGGAATTGTTCTTACAAAGTTTCACGTATCAATGATCGCAACCGAGAGTCGTCTGGGAAGACTTCATGTGGCGCCTCTGCCTGCGTACGCCAGACCATACAAATTGTGGGACTACCTGAGGCAAGGACTTGCTGGCGCCATGTATATAGATGGGAATATCTGCATATTAAAATACAGGGATCTATATATGTATGTAAATATTACTAAATAATAGACGTAAAGGCGCCCAGACGACTGGCGGTTGCGATCATTGATACGTGAAACTTTGTAAGAAATATTCCACTGAAATTTTGGCGTCAGATAGGCGGTAGAAATCATAAAGTTTCGGGATCACAATTCTGCAACAACGACTTATATCGTATGGCCGCCTCTCTGTCTGCAACATGTTTGAGGCAGTAGTGTTTTTTTGTCCTGGCACCTGTCGTTAGATGTTTTTCGGCCATAGCTGGTATGTTTTATGCAAAATTAAAAAACGGAAAAATTGAGTTGTACAATTTTTAGTAGAATTTTTTAAAACGTAGCAATTTGAACCATTTCCAAACCAGATTTTATAATCATTTTGTAATATTTGTTTTTTTTTCGTAACAAGTACTTTCTGCAACCGATATTACGGATTTAACAATTGTAAACATAAAACATTAAGTGATTTTATTTAATATTCAGAGTTGGGCAAACGTTTTTTTATATAAATAGCTAAAATTAAGGGGTGGGCAAAAGATAATATTTAATTTTAAGACATGGGCAAACGTTTTTTAATATAAATACCTAAAATTAAGGGGTGGGCAAAAGATAATATTTAATTTTAAGACATGGGCAAACGTTTTTTAATACAAATACTTAAAATTAAGGGGTGGGCAAACGAAATTTTTTAATTTTAAAGGGTGGGCAAACGATTTTATTTAGTTTTAAGAGGTGGGCAATCAGTTTTTGTTAAAAATATTTAATTTTAGAGGGTGGGCAAACGATTTTTTTTAGTTTTAAGAGGTGGGCAATCGTTTTTTGTTAAAAATATTTAATTTTAGAGGGTGGGCAAACGAAATTTTTAAATTTTAAAGGGTGGGCAATCGTTTTTTCTTAAAAAATCTTAATTTTAGGGGGTGGGCAAACGAAATTTTTTAATTTTAAAGGGTGGGCAAACGATTTTATTTAGTTTTAAGAGGTGGGCAATCGTTTTTTCTTAAAAAATCTTAATTTTAGGGGGTTGGCAAACGAAATTTTTTAATTTTAAAGGGTGGGCAAACGATTTTATTTAGTTTTAAGAGGTGGGCAATCAGTTTTTGTTAAAAATATTTAATTTTAGAGGGTGGGCCAACGATTTTTTTTAGTTTTAAGAGGTGGGCAATCGTTTTTTGTTAAAAATATTTAATTTTAGAGGGTGGGCAAACGTTATAATTTTGAAAAATTTTCAAAGTTGAATATTTTCAAAACTGGACGTGGGCAAAAAAAAGTAAAGGGTGGGCAAACATATGCAACGAATGGGCAAACGATTCCAGTTTTCAAAATTTTAAAATTCAAAATTTCCCAGTACAATTTTGAAAATTTTCTAAACTTGAAGTTTTTTCAAAATTCTAAAGGGTGGGCAAACGTGGGCAAACGATGTTATTGCGATTTCCAAAAAAAAAATTTGAAAAAAGTCAACTTTTGTTTTTTCGAAAAATGATGAAAATTTTCAAAGTCGAATATTTTCAAAACTGGACGTGGGCAAAAAAAAGTTAAAGGTGGGCAAACATGGGCAAACGATGGGCAAACGATT